CAAGATTATTCGTTTTCTTTACAACATTGTTAAACAAGCTGACGGCCCACCCCATGGAAATTACAATATAAATAAATAAAATTGGAGTGTCTGTTTGTAATTTTGAAATTACCGTTTTTTACCACATGCATATGAATATAAACACGGTATATACGCTAAAATAACAGCTTTTGTCTGTCTGTCTATTTGTTCCCGCTAATATCTGAAATGGCTGGACCGATTTTGACAGGTAGCTGATGTAATAAGGAGTAACTTAGGCTTTTATTTAAAAAAAATAAAGTTAAATACCATGCGGAATATGTCGCGGGTACAGCTAGTAAAAAATATATTATGAAAATGGGATGTTATTCCTGACGACTTAGATTTTATGGTTTCTATTTACTCTGTATAGTTTGTATGTTCGAGATAGGTAACCTCCGGTCCTATGATCCGATTCTGAAAATTCTTTAAGTGTTGTATAGTCCATTTATTACGAAAGGCTTATAGGCTATAAATATTTTATGCTAGTATTAGTAACAACATTTTGTATTATACATACATAGATATTGGCCAAGAGTAATATGATTTCTACAATCCTGGTATAATAATAATAATAATATCAGGACAATTCACACAGCGCCAGCGAGACCCGAGTTAAGCTAGCTAAAGCTTGTGTTATGGGCACTAGACAACTGATACTAATACATAGATAATTTTTTTTTGTAAATACATACATATTATACATAGAAAACATCCAGACCGATACAAACAATCATACTCATGAATACAAATATTTGTACCGTGCGAGGAATCGAACCCACACCATCGGTCGTAAAGCAGTTTAACGGTGACCGCTAGACCACCGAGGTCGTCAAACATACGAAATAATAAGAAAAGATGGTATATATAAATATACATAAATACACATACTATTATTTATTTTTTATGGATGATAATGGCATGGTGCACCCGCCTGCGCTAACTGTTTACGCTGGCGGGGCACCAGTTAAGTATGATAAGATGAGCATGAGGTCAGGTTAGTTAGCCCATCGTGACAAATTCACCAGGAATTTAGCAGGATGGTTTCCAGGGGGAACCGCGTGGAGGTCAACGTGACATGGTGCATTGCTAGTGATAGGTCATGAGTCCACATTACTAACAATCCCCGTCCCCCCTTCATACTAGTAGTAACATCGCTATACAGCTATGATCTTACTGCGGCTGTGCACCGTGCAATATTATGCATCTGTGGCGCATTACGTTTGCGCGGGAAAATAAAAACTACAAAAACGACTTCTTCAGCAGACATACCAATTCTCATGTGCTCCTAATTCTTAATTGTTTTATATTATTGATTAGATGTCTGTAATTTAATTTAATTATAATATACTTTCTATATATTCAACAAACCGGAATATAAATACAGGCCCTAGTAACATATCTATACATATAAATAAAATTGGAGTGTCTGTTTGTAATATTGAAATAACCATTTTTTACTACATGCATAAGAATATAATTACGGCACATATATCGTACATATAACATTTATTACAATTTTTGTCTGTCTGTATTTTCCGGCTAATCTCTGAAATGGCTGGACCGATTTTGATGGGACTTTTTTGTCAGGTAGCTGATGTAATAAGGAGTAACTTAGACTACTTTTATTTTAGAAAAAGAAAGTAAGTTCCACGCAGACGATGCCGCGGGTACAGCTAGTCTAACATAAGCGCTACTTTGGTTAAGTCTATACATATAAATAAAATAGGAGTGTCTGTTTGTAATACTGAAATAACCATTTTTTACTACAAGCATATGAATGTAAATACATACACCAAAATAATTTTTTTTACAATTTTTGTCTGCCTGTCTGTCTGTTTGTTTCGGCTAATCTCTGTAATGGCTGAACGGATTTTGACGGGACTTTTATTGGTAGGTAGCCGATGTAATAAGGAGTAACTAAGCTGCCTTTATTTTAGATAAATAAAGTTAAATTCCACGCGGACGAAGTCGCGTGTACAGCTAGTAAAGCAATCTTCGATTCAAGTTTTGTGAAAACACTGCCATATACTTTAAAAGTGACGACTACTTCATTGAAGTTACTTGGAACGAAATATCGTAATATATATAAATATATTTACGAAAGTAGAGATTAAGTTTCGAAAATCAAAATAAATCAAAATATCTTTATTCATGTATATTATAGACTCTTATGATATGTCAAATCTACTGTCAGTTCTGGGTAGTTTCGAGATAAGAAATAACTGACACGAAACTCAGCTCCTTTTGCTTTTCAAATTTACTTATACCTGATAACAAAAATACAGTTTAATTTTTAAATTAAATTATGAAGAATGAACCAATCAGATATACTGTTGCATTTTTGTATATATTTTTATATACTTTAATCAGTGGCAATACACTAATCTTATTTGTTATTCTGTGACATGATCTATTTGTCACGTCTTATATAAATCCATTATTTATAATTAATGTGTAATTGAGTAACAAATATCCTTACATTTTTACGAACTTACAAGTTAGAGAAAATGTATGGACATTCGTTACGTATTATATACATACTAGCTATGTCCGCGGTTTCAAGCTATGTTACTGTAAAGTTTCATCAAAATCCGTTCAGTAGTTTATGCGAGTAACGAACTTCCATCCATACTCACAAACTTTCGAGTTTATAATATTAATGAGATTTTTTATATATTATATACATATTAGGGTTATATATATAAGGGTTATAATTATGCATAATATAGAATACATTAGAAATACACTTACATTATAACTCTGCAATAATTCATTCGTTTTATTAAATTTATGATGGAATAATTCAAGCTAAAGGGTACACGTTTTAAGAAATAAACAAAGCAATAATTTAACGGAAACTTTGCATTGCATACTTGGTAAACAATGTTAGCACGGACTACCGCTCCGTTCTGAATGAAAATGGATGAGAGCTACTTCGTTATGTATCTCAAAGTCTATTAGATAAGTACTAGGCAGTTCCCGCGTCGCTATCTGCGTGAATCAGGCTAAATAGTACGTATCATATTTAGTATTTGTTCAGTTTACTAAAAATGAGACCTAGTACCTTTAATAGATTGACGGCCTCGGTGGTCTAAAGGTTATGGACACCTTACTTCTGATGGTCGCGGGTTCGATTCCTTGTACGGTACAAACATTAGTATTCATGAGTATGATTGTTTGTATCAGTCTAGGTGTTTTCTTTGTATAACATGTTACAAAATGTATTTGTATCAGTTATCTAGTACCCATAACATAATCTTAAGCTAGCTTAACTTGGGTCTAGATGGCTATAGTTTTTTTTAATGAAAATATAACAATATTAATTCTTAACTTTTACATCAGTTTGTTTATTAACATGTGTCAAACTACAGACATTCAGTGCGGAAACCTGAACACCGGTAGTAGAAGCGTTACAACCATCTCTATTGGTAATCAAATTGCGACTGTTATTGAGTCTATAGCTATATTGCGACACGTGTTTCACCTCTGAACGAGGCATCATCAGACATTAGATAGAGTTCGGATATAGCTTGGAAGCCTAATGTTGACTGTTCGGCGACCAATTTAATGTGCGATGATTGATGACGAATATTTGTGATCCTACACATGGTATTGGTAGCGGAAATAAACTAAATGATATAAATTCATTATGTAATTAAATGGACTTTCACAAATTGACGCTAAATTCTATAAAAAATGTCCCAATAGTACTATTAGGATATATTCATATAAGGCAAATATATTAATATCATAAGAAGCTTGTTGGATTTCATTATAAAATACTTATAACAAAATCAATAAGAAGTCAATAGAGGCACTTGTTATTTCTGAATATTTATACCTACTAATTAGTACTGGCTAATTAAAAGATATACGAATAAAAAGAAATGAGGAAAATTTTCATTTTAACATTTTTCTCAAAAAATAAATTAAATTGTTTATTTTCCTTTAAAAATAATGTCAGATAATGGAAACTCTGTTATCCTATTCACCTTCATGACTCGTTTGTTAAATATCTGATAATGTTTGTATATAATTTTGACAGTTGATAAAATCTAATGAATAAGTACTGCAGTCGTATACTAACTGATAATAACAATGAAAACCTTTATCTATATATACTGTATTGATATACATTATAGGAACGGAATTATTTATTTTTAGACATTTCCTTCGATAGCACTTAGTTAATTGTGTATTCTAAATTAAACATGTCTAGTAACATTAATAATCGTTTAGTGCTAATTTTTGCAGTTGCTGTATTTTTTTATGTGTGTGATTTTTTTGTGATATTCTTTACGTTTTTTCATTATAATCATTATTCATTGTTTACTGCTCTACATATGGCTTTGATTGTAGTGTTTTTTAAATTACATTTCATTTGTAATGTACAGTTTTTTTTTACCATTATTATTGCATATCATCCGAAGGTTCCTAATATTAAGCTTCTAGTTATATATCTGGTGTTATTAGTTATTACAATTATGCCCCAGACTTATTTTTTTACAAGGCATAATTGTAATATTTAAAATGTATTATCAAATTAATAGATATAAGAACAGTGGAAAAAGTTAGATTAAATAAATGCACCTAGAATAGAAAATGAATAAAAAAATAAATTACGAGTATGATACTCATGATATTTAGACAGATATTTATATTGTTAACAATGTCTTAACACGAATAATTTTATGGTAAATAAAGTTATTTTCCTCTCTCGACACTTCGAGTAGGTTGCACTATTTACCATAAACCTATTCGTGTTAAGACCCGGGTAACAATATAAATAATGTATATGAAACATGAAAGTTTTAAAAAACTATTTAAAGATATATTTTATTTGAAATATTTCATTTATTACATTTATTCAAACCCAATTCAGTTACATATAGCAAATTATTTACAAAATACTTCCTAGTATTCAGCGTTGATACTTATACCGGTCGTTCGTGATTCAATTTTGAACTTTATGTTTTCAGATAAACAAAGTTACCTTTGCTCCACTAGTGGTGTCCACACTATTTATTTTACTCACGTCGTTGCTCGCCCATTGCGCGCGGCGACTGGTGCAGAAGTCTATAAAGGAGCCATTCGTTAGACTATTATTTGAAGAGGCCATCGCCGCAGCTGAACTATGTGGCTGTTGTTTCGAGCTTATTGTTGGTAAGCATTTTTTTAAATATAGTATAATAAAATATAATAATATATATGTAATAATACTGCAGAACAAATCATACTGAGCTATTTAGTTCCAGGAAAAATGTGCTGTAACACGAATAATTTTATGGTAAATAAAGTTATCTTTCTCGACATTTCGATTAAGTTGCACTACACGTGGTCAGCGTGACCTTTTTTTACCATAAAATTGTTCGTGTTGAAATCTATTTAACTATAATAATAATGAATCATAATCGCGAAAGTTTAAAAATAAGTAAATGTGCTGAGTAATACATAACTTTTAATAAATAACATAGAAAGAGATCAAAACAACCGTACTTACAAATACAGATGTTTGTATCTTGTGAGAAATTGAAACCACGATGATCGGAAGTAAATCGGTGCGCTAAACCACTAGACCAAGACCGAGGTCCACTTCTGGATACGTCTTAGAGCCTTTCTGACGAGTACGTCTATTTAATGATATTTAGGTTTATAGTGTTAATGACATGGAATCCTCTACGACTACTTTTGAAACGTACAACGTAAGTAAATCGATAACAATGTCAATTGGTATTTTCATTAAAGAAGTCTAGAATGAGTACGTAGCTGTAAACAATTCAAGGGTGTAAAAAAGCGAAAATACTCAGTCCAACGAAATTGTATTGGAATTAGTTTGCAGAGTGGACCGGTTGACGCGTTTTCATTTAGGTACAAAGAAACTTGACAAAGGAATGTGTACTTAAACGACTAAGTCAGGAAGCCCTCATTTAATTACATGCACCCGGTAAAGAAAATGTGCAGATACGGTATAGAAACGTTCCTAGTCAGAAAGGCGCCTTATGCTTGCTTGAGAGATGCACGTCTTCTTTGCATCCCTTTAGAATCGCGTTCTATTTTTTTTAATAAAACATGATTCACGTTTCTCGCTGATAATCCAGTTTCACACAGATGAATGTTAAAATCCATTAAGCTATTTAGGAGTATTTAAACATTTAAACTTTCGCGTTTATTACAACATTATTAATATACTTAACCGGGTCTTAACACGAATAATTATATGGAAAATAAGGTATTTACTTCTCACGCCATTTGTTCACCGAATATGTATGTATGGGTACTGTGAGTGCTGTGGGAATTGAACAATACACTGACACCTATCGAAACTGACATCGCATTCCTTCAATCGGCTAGTGACCGCAGCTAATGCAATCTAGTTGAAAAGTCGATATTATTTACCTTAAAATTATTCATGTTAAAACTCGATGAGTTACATTAGTAATGAGTTTAGACATTATATTTTTTTTACTGGGGAATTTAGGCTATTGCCAGAGTTTTTGTCCTGTAGCACTGCGACCTATAGAGATCTATTGTGCTAGCCCTTCTTTCAGCGTTCGTTCCCTAGAACCATCATGGCAAGAATTGAAGGATATTCTTAGGACCGATTATTTTTATCTCCTCAGGATATAGTGTAAATTTCCAAAGGAAATATTTCATTTAAGCATGAGTGGCCTGTAACCATATAGGATGTGTAGTGGCGTTTGCTTTTCAGTCTTTCTCTATGTTATTATTAGTATAGGAGGCCATTAAAACGAGAGGTATAAAACGTAGAAGTTTTTTATAGATTGATATAAGGTATATACTAGGATTCTGGGGTTGAACTTCAGCCGCTTATAAGTAGCTCCTTCTGCGAGTTTAAAGTGCCGTCTGCACTCGCCCTCGCTATCGTTCGATAAAGTTGTAAAGGCTACAAATGGTACAGTAAAAACAGTATAAAAATTAGGCTTCTGGGACAAGTATCGGATTCAGTATAACGCATCCGAAGCTATCAAACGAAGCCGAGATGAACGCTGGCAAGCTCTGAATCACTGCTTCCTTTTGCAGTGGTTTTGAAACCGGCCAGTAACAATTGACTCCATCACTGAAATACTGGAGTAATATTAAGTAACTCTATTTTTAATAGATTTATAATTTAATTTAGAGAAATTTTAATTATAAGACATTTTCGTGATATTGTTATTTTATTTGATTTAAATAATAAACTCTAAATTTCTTTTATTTGAATATTCGAATATGCCAATTTATTACGCGTGGAATTTAACTTTATTTTTCTAAAATAAAAGAATTATTTATATATATTCATACGCATGTAGTAAAAAACGGTTATTTCAATATTACAAACAGACACTCCAATTTTATTTATATGTATAGATGTCACAAACTCTCGACTGTCTACTATGCTATCTGGTGTTACAATTTTATAGGATTTATATTTTAAATGGCCTCGATGATCTAGCATTTTAGCATACCGCTTTATTTCCAATAATCGCGTGTTTGTATTCATGAGTATGATTGTTTCTATAGGTCTGGGTCTTTTCTATGTATATTATGCATGTATTTACAAAAAATGTATATCAGTTATCTAGTACCCATAATACAACCCGGGAGTAGATAGCGTTATGTGAATTATCCAGGGATATCCTTCTTTTATTTTGCATAGAACGAGTTAATGCTAATAATTATTATTGTTATTCCTAATAAAAATAAGAAATGTTTCAGTTTTTATTCTTTTTCATTACATATTAAAAATATAATAAAATCTGAAATATTATTTTATTATTGCTTCTGTTTTCTGAATTCGCCGCTCGCCATTGACAGGGAATTCATCCCTACACGCTGGAACCTAAGTGGTCTCGGACAGTGCGGTTTCAGAGGAGCTTCCTCCCGCGTACACTTAGATTCTGAAATGAAATGCCTGCCGAGGTTTTCTCGAGCGACAGCATGGGGTTTTTCAAGAAGGGTATATTAAGGTTTACGGTAAAGCCCCCCTGGTTTTTTAGGCGTCCATAGGCTATGGTAACCGTTTATCATCAGATGAGCCGTGTGCTTGTTTTTTTTTATAATACAGGGGACAAACGAGCATGCGGCTCACCTGATGGTAAGTGATTCCCGCCGCTCATGAGCACCCGCAACACCAGGGGAATTGCAAGTATGTTGTCGGCCTTTTAAGAAGGAATAAGCTCTTTTCTTGAAGGTTTCAATATCGTATCGGTTCGGAAATACCACTGCTGGAAGGTGATTCCACAATGTGTTTGCCACCTACGTGGTATAAAAAAATAATCTTTATTTTTTTGGTATGATTTTTATAAACGTTATGTACATATTGTATGCGTAGATAATTAAAAGTTAATATCGTTATGTTTCAGTTGCAGACAATTTCGGTGTGGCCACATACGGGATATTCCTGTTTGCTCTAACAATTTGGTGGTCTCTGAACTGGGGTGACGCCACTGCCTGCCCGTATACACACATTGAAGACGTTATCGAAGGTGCCTGTCAATATTAATCGAAGCATATAAAGCTGTGTCATAGTCTGTACTATACACTGTGATATGAACTCTAACAATATCGCTAACAAAATATTTGTAGTTCATAAAGGTTTTGTTAGCTATAATACTAGAGATATCCACATTTATGAAATTACAGGATAAGAGGCAGTTATTTAAGGCCTCGGTGATCCAGCGGTTTAGCACGGCGCCTTGCTTCCGACTGTCGCGGGTTCGATTCTCCGCGCGGCACGATCATTTGTATTCATGAGTATGATTGTTTGTATCGGTCTGGATGTTATCTATATATAATAAGTATTAGTAGTATTTAGGAAAAGAAATATATCCATGTATTTGTATCAGTTATGTAGTACCCATATAAAAATACAAAAGATTGTTATATGTTTTGTATATATATACTGTTTTAATATTGACGCAGTCAGTATTTACATACATATACATATAATAGTAATTAAAATATAATATGAATATGGTAACTAACATTGGGACACAACAATTTATTGTTATATATAAGATATATTGAAGATAATGCGTATACACCGCTCAATTGTAATTCTGGAAGACAGTTAAATTTTGTACTAATTATAGCAATGTGGATATTTGAGATCGTTGTAAATTAACTGGGGGTAAATGTTCGTGCAAATAGAATTTTTAATGTTGAATAATATTCAAAGAAGGGCGCGCCTCCCTTGTAAATTCTAATTCAAGAATGGAAGGGTTAATTTCAAAATAATGTGTTTAATTAGGTGGAAATAAGCAAGATGGGATCATTTTGTAATACTTACTTGCGGGTGAGTTACAAAATAAAGACGCTTAATCTAAAGCATTATATGGAAAGGGAAACGTCTTGATGGATTTTTTATGATTATGAACTCTCTATATAACCTCCATGTTTTCTATATGATACTTAAAACAAGTCAAATCTATCATCAGTTCGAAACGTTTGAGTCGAGAAGAATTCAAAAGAAATTCTTTTCCATCGATATTGTATGACTATGTTATTATAATAATACAAATTAAAACTTAAATCAAATATATAAAAATCTCGTGTCATACATAGTGTTTGTTATCAAACACCTTGGCTTATTAGGTATGTTAGTAGGAGCTGTATTTATATTCAGGATTGTTGTATATATAGAAAGTATATTATAATAAAAGGTATATTAAATAATATGAAATAATTAAGAATTAGGAGCACAAGAGAATTAAAATATCTACTCAAAAAAATATTTTTGTAGTTTTTTCACTTTCCCGCGTAAACGTAATGCGCTACAGATGCAAAATATTGCACGGCGCGCAGCCGCAATAGGATAATGAACGCGTTATAGCTGTATAGCGAAGTTAATACTGGTATGAGTATTAACACAGATTAACCGATTTTTATGTAATTTTTGGTATATGTTTGATAGGTGTGAAAATGGATAGTATCTACTCTATTTTTTATTTAATAGGTGGTAAGGGGAGCCCTATCCTAGAAATATTTTATGTCAATACAGTGTTTGAGGGCTCAGCTTCTTGTATTTTGTAGCATAACTTTTCTATAAATTTATGCTACAAAATAATATAATTTAAACAGCAGTCTTAACTTAAGTATACATTGATATATTTAAGTAATAATGATAACGGGGACTATCCCACAAGAATATTCTTGGGGGACAACCTATGCCTAACCTATCATGTACCTACTACGGTATCATCATCATCTGCTTCTTCCTTATCCCATTTATTTGGGCTCGGCGTAATATGTTTTAGAGGTCTCTACAAGAACGTTTATTACGGTATAATATAAATATAGAAAGAAAATAGCACACAAAAAGTGAAACACACTCGAGATTCGTCTCGTTGCAACGTCAAAGAAGTGTAGATATAAAATAACGAGCCAATTAAGCCAGGATTCCACTCAAACATTTCCATTGTAAGCAATTTAAACTTTCGTTTAACAGTATTCTTGAAGACTTGAAGAGTTTTTATGTTTACTAAAGACATCCTTTAAAATTCATACTTTTAAGCTATCTTAGTGTTTCTTTTTAAATATATTGCATGGAGACCAAAGAAATGTAGCTTATAAATATTGCTGATAGGATGTTTTATTTTTTTTAATAAAAATAAATGACTTTACTTTCATTAGTCGCGGGTTTGATTCCGGTTCCGCACGGTACAAACATTTGTACGTACTTATAAAAAGTATGATTGTTTGTTTCGGTCTGAGCGTTTTTTATGTATAATATAATATGTATGTATTTATAAAATCTATATATTTATAACAGTTGTCTAGTACCCATAAAACAAGCTCTGCTTACCTTGGGACTAAATAGCGCTGTGGGAATTGTGCTGAGATAATATTTTAAAAAATGAAGGAATTCATTACTGCTTTAAGTTTTAATTTAAATTTCTCTCCTTAATTAAACAATAATAATTTATCTTCTTCATCAGGGAAAGGCGAAATCCGCAAGGCCGTTTTGAAGACCTGGGCGGAACTCGTGGGCGGTTTACTAGTTTTCAAATATGTACAGACATATTGGGCTCTGGAGATTTCGGACACGCATAAGGATAAGGCTTTCGAAGAATGCAGAGCCGATTTGCAAGTAAGGCATTTCTTTTATTGTATTTTGGTTTCAATGTGAATTTTAGATTTTCAATATTTTCTGCCTGCTTTTGTGTGGTAATAGAAAGAAACCAGTCACGTTCAAATCAGACTCACATAAATTGTTTATTCTGAACCCTTGCGTTTTTTTAGTACAATAATTTATAAATATAGATAAAATGATAGTATTATAAAATGATTATGCTATATTTGACGGCCTTGGTGGTCTAGTGATTTTGCATACCGCCTTACTTTCGATGGTCGCAGGTTTGATTCCTCACAAGGTACAATCATTTTGCATTATGAGTATAATTGTTTGTAACGATCTGGCTGTTTCCTACGTACCTAAATAATGTATGGATTTACAAAAAACAATTATCTATGTATTTACATTAGTGGTGTAGTACCTTTAATATAAGCTCTGCTTAGTTTGCGACTAGAGGGCGCTGTGTGAATTTATTGAGATTAGATATAATTTATGTTTTTAAATTAATAAAAATTATATAAATTAGTATAATTAAAAATAGAAACTGTTTTTTCTTGCATGTGTTCTAACGGAAATGTGTGTATTCACTAATATTAATGTTATTTGAGATGTGATAAGCTTCTTTCCATAACTTGTCTAAAACCAGTTGGTAGAATAACAAATCTCTGTGCACTGGAAAGTAAGTCTGTGAAACAATGATTCCAGACGTTATAAACCGGTGCTATATTATATCCTATCCAGACAAGGCTGCATTTACAATGAGTGCTAGCACTAGAGTCCGTTAGGGCACATGTGATTTAAACTAATACAAGGCATCATTTTCTAACGGAAAATTAAAAAAAAATACTTAACTTATATCAAAAAGTTTTTTTTATAGATCGGTTAATTTTTTATCAATGCATATGAAACGGTCTGTGTTAATGGAACTGTGTTCGAACTGTTTTACTGCTGTTGGAAGCAGCTGGCCTTTACTGTTTCAACGGACAATAGGGGGCAGATGGCACTCCATACTCGCGGAAAGACTTATGGAGCAGCTGAAGGCCAACTCCAGCCTGATGGATACGACAGTTTGAGGGCACCTCAGGATACGAACCTCATCTCAGGTCGTCTTAATTTCGATTAAGATGACCTGAGATGAGGATATTATAAAATGAAATTGATTATTGTGCTCTTTTATTATTTCTGATCTAAGAATGAGGTAGGAATGTTATATTATTCCTAAGTTTTTGATTGCAATTTTTTTTTAATTTTGTTAAATCAATTTCAGGTACCTGTCATATATGGGGCCGTGGTAGAAGGCGTGGCGACGTGTCTTTGTCGGCTCGCTTCCAAGTCTCTAGGAGATCTCAACCCTCGGTTCGCGACTGCGATTGACGCCTTCATAGGAACCTCCCTCGTCGTAGCTGGTTAGTTTTTTATTTTTGCGCTTTTTACATTTAAGTTGGCAAAACTCGAAAGCAGGTTGCTTGAATTTTGAATATTTTTTAAGAATTTCTTTAGACATGTTATAATATTGTTGGCATTCTATTTTGCACTCTACATCTTCGCCTTAAGTTAACATATTAATTGGTTTAGAGTTTACTAATGTTTTAATTTTTTTTCACAATTATTTACAATTGTACATTATAGATGGAATATTGGCCGTGATAATATTATTGACAATGACAAATACAATTGATACAGCACCATCTAGAACCAAATTAAGCTAGCTAAAGCTTATGTTATGGGTACTAGATAACTGATACTAGATAATATGTAGATATACATTTTTTCTTAGTACATACATGTTATACATTAATATTAAATAACATTTCATATACCTAACACTGTTTTGTGAAAAACATTGTTAGTTGTATTTTTTTTCGTAAATACATACATGATATACATAGAAAACACCCAGACCGATACAAACAATCATACTCATGAATATAAATGTTTGTGCCGTGCGAGGAATCGAACCCGCGACCATTGGACGTAAATCGGTATGCTAGACCACTAGACCACCGAGGTCGTTTATTATTATAAATATTCCGTTTATATAATGTATATGAATTTACTTGTTTCGTTTATTTATTTATTACTTCTGACATGGTACATGTTAGATGTTATTGATAAAAGGAATTATAACTATTTACAGTTTCATTAAAATAATTAGTTAATTAGATGGATTATTTTATTATATTATACATATATATACAAAATATATTTACGAAATTAAATATCATTCATTTATAAAATTTCAATACTTTCTATAGATAATAAATACCACATGAGAACAACACATCTTTTTCACTAATTGCATTTATTATTGGAACTAGAGAAGTCTATAATATAATAAAAGGTTAAATATAAATTTAGAATAATTTTAATCAACCAGTTACAAAAATATCTTATATATTTTGTAGAATTTTGTTTATGATGTTTATGATTTATTAGATCTGCACCGCCAACAATTATTCTCAGCACCACCTATGGTTGCCTGGTAGAAAATGCCACATGGTGTTATGTCCGCCAAATGTACTGTACTATATTTTGTATTGTGTGCATTGAAGTTAAATAAATATGTATAAATAAGAGTACATAGTTAATTATGTAAGTAATATAATAATATGTACTGGTATATTGTATATCTACTGATAAGAAGAAGAAAAGCGACTTTCTTCACCGTTTAATAGGTTGTCGGAGCAATTGTGTCTTCCGAGTCCTGTTTTCTTCAATTCAATGAATATAAATTGAACATTAACATTTTTATATCAAGCCAACCAGATGAGGTCAATACTAGCTTAGACATCTATAAAATTATATATTTACTAGCTATGCCCGCGGATTCACTCGTGTTGAATTTCAATAAAAAATATAGCATATACGTTATTCTGTGCACAAGATATACTACTGTAAAGTTTCATCAAAATCCATTCAGTAGTTTTTGCGTTAAAGAGTAACAAACAGCCATCCATACTCACAAACTTTCGTGTTTATAACATTAGTAAGATTCTCTAACCATATTAAAATAATATCGAACCTATTGATAACTTTTTACTGAATTACTTCTATCATATATGAAGAATATACAAATATATATAGGTATATATACATAGAAAGATAGAAAGAAAGAAAAAAATATTTATTCAGTGCTTTTGTTGTTGTGTAACAATATTACAATATAAAAAACAAACAAACGAAAAAAAAGATTAAATAAAATATATATATAATTAAACTTAATTTACCATGTAGATAATATATATATACCATAGATAGCCTATACTTTAGCTCTATAAAATACGAAGGAGGTTCCATTCGTTGTTAATTAGATAATTGTTTGAATTAATTTAAACTAACAATAGTAACTTATAACTACGCTTTACGTAAATGTGCTTTCCATTCAAAACGGTCCGGTAGTTTTTCATGACATAGTAACATATATGTCATCAAAAAAATACTGGGCATATTTCTGCGTACGTATCTTAAGGTATTAAGATTGGCAACTATGCATATCATTTTACGTGTACATTATTACGTTATTAATTATAGTGTTTAATGCTATAATCTTTAATATACTTGGTTATGTAACAGTTATTAATAATATGCCACGTTATGTTGTACCAGAAACAAATGCACTATGTCATAAACCTAGTATGGACGTTTAAAAAAAAGTGCCAAGTAATGTTGTTTAATATTATTATACTTTATTCATAGTCAACCCAAATTGTTTAACATGCAAATAAATTATTTGTTAAATTAATCGCCTTTAGACTATTTTACTGAAGGATTACTCTGTAAAATGTGTAGAAACATAATAATTATAGAAAATTAATATCTCCAGGTAATTGCATGATATTTTCATATAAAACCAATTTAATAAATTAATAGCTAATCTAAAAAAAATTATTAAATATTAATACCACTCCGACGTGATTAGTTGTAGATTGGTATTAATAAAGCATTGAATTTAAATAGTTATTCCTTAAGACTGTAGGTTCATTTTTAATTCACAAAACTCAAATCCCAATTAAAATTTAACTAAAACAGCACAGCACTACCGCCGTCCTCCTTAGGGGGTAACGTAACGTAATACATAGACTTGTCTAGACTAAGGGTGCGGAATATTGTCTCCCATGCTATCAGAGTTTGTTAATAGTGTGTTTCTAGATTTTCATTAACTTATTAATTTGACGACCTCAATATTAACAAGTAATATTAAAAAATAACGGAATCTTATCACGTTAAATTCTTCTTTACGTCAATGTTCGATCGCTCGATCGACCCATCCATGTTAAATTGCTTATTTACTATAAGAAACTATTTCTTTAATCAAACACATGCTATGTAATAGGGTAATGTAGTTTTCTATAGTAGAAATAATTCTTAAAATTGGTGAAGTAATTATAAAGTTAATCAATTGCAAACAATAAAATCTTTCTTTCATACAATACTAGTTTTTACTAGTATTATAGCTTATATTATATAGTATTTATATAGTATTTACGCTTTTTTAAGCGTGATAAATTATAGCATATGTGAGTCCACTTTTAATCTGTCTTTACATCAAATTAATTCATAGATTAATAGAACGTGTATTATTTATATTGTTAACCAGGCCTTAACACGAATAATTTTGTGGTAAACTAGCTCTGTCCGCGACTTCGTACTCGTGTTAGAGTGATTTTGACTAAATAAAAAAAAAAATTCAATAATAAAACTCAAACAAAAAAATTCAACGTTCTTCAAAAATAACGATTTCCATACAAACTTTCATCCCCTATTTTTAAAAGTAACATTTTTAGAAACTTTGAATTATATATTTATTTCTATTTAATCAACACCCTAAAAAAGTTTTGGCGTTAATGCGAGATAGACAGACATACAAACAGAGTTACTTTCGCATTTATAACATTAGTAAGGATATATAATTACTATGAAATTATTCGTGTTTAGATCCGGTTTCCAATATAATTAATGTATGTTGAACACGAAAGTTTAAAAAGTAGAACGTGGTAAGGTCCCTTTATTGTTTAATGTTACATTAACTGTTGCAGGGGTCCTCACTAGGCACACGGTATTCGTCTACCGCTATCAGGACAATAGTGCCCATGCGGACCTAAGCGTGTCCATCTTTTGCAAAATCCATTTAGGAAAAGGTACATCGTTGTAAAGTGTACACTAACCACATAGCTCATTTGCATTAAAAGCATGATTGGTATAACAACACATTTGTTTGAAGCTACAGCTGAAACTCCTATTTCTTATCGGGTGAATTTGCATCAGGAACGAGACAATCGAATTTTGTTTAATACTGCTACTATTAGCATGTGAGAGACTACAAATATTCATTGCGTAAACCTGACCACGACTACTAGAAGCGTTATGAACTTCTCTATTAGCACAGATAACATGATATTACATACTATTAGTGACCAAATTCCGACAGTTATTGAATATATCGCGACACCTCCGATCGAACCCCCATCCAATTCAAACGGAGATCGAAATTACGACGGCCTGAGCTGAGGTTCGATCTAACTCGGTTGCAATATATATTAATAGAAATGGGCGCACTAGGCGCCTACTGTTATTTTTCGATCGTTAGGTCAAAAAACAATTTCGGTTTTGAAAAAAAAATCTATAAGAAACTTGAGTCTTTGAGTGAAAAATTATTTATACTTGGTGGTGGTTGTGTATATGTTATATGTGATTTAAAAATATAAATATCTTTCTCCTATTTTTCTAGTTATATTGAATGTAAATTATATAAACACGTATTGTCTTTAGTCATTTATTATTAAGTATTTTATTTATTATCAAATGTTTATTATAATAGTTGTACAAAAACTTCCATAGATTTATCATATTTCGCACCATTTAACATTTCACTTCATGCTAAACTACTATTATGTCATTAATATTAACAAATTTGATGTTTAATCATGAATTGGTAGAAGCACGGCTCCTCAAAATGGTAGAAATGGTAGAAATCATTAACAAGTAATTACACAACACAATTTAACATTTATAATTAACAACAAATTATATTGCTAACCGTCTAGGATTGATAAATATACTTATATTATATAATTTTAATCTTAAATTTTGCATATAATAGAATTGAAAAATCGTGACTTTACGAAAACCGTCTGTTAATCAGTTTGTAGTTTAATTGCCACTCAAAAATGTATGAAGAAATAAGGATAATAATTTCCAACCTTTTTAGTGTCATGCTCCACCTAAGCCGTTTTAAAATTTTTCATATAATTTTCACATTTCATATAATTTTAATACTGAGTCCATTTTCGAATTGCCCCCCTTAATAATCAAATTCGCCCCCTGTGGAGCGTGGGCCCCAAATTGGGAAACACTGAATTAGGATGTAAATCAGAACATGTTATAAAATATGGATTAACAGCACATTTATTGAAATAACCTATAGCCTATATAACATCACGCTGCGACTAATAGGAGCGGAGCTCTTTTTATATACCACGATGGTGGTAATCAAGCATACAGCCCATTTGACGGTAAATGGGTACCGTCACATGGGCTGTATTGATTGGGCGTATGAACGCCGTCCTCACCAAGGGTGTCACGTGCGCATTGCTGACCCTTAAGAAAGTAGTCTCTGGAGGAAATGTTGCGAAAGCTGGGAAAATGGGACCCAGATGACGTTGAGTGTGTGAGCTAGTAATCCACATTACATATTTTTTTATAGTTTTCTTTATTATTTCAATTTCGGTTTGTCCATTTGTATAGCATGAATTTATAATAAATGAACTCTGACTCGTTTTGAACATTTTTAGATATTTTTTTATTATCTTATTAGTATATTTTAAATTTGTATTTGTAACTATTGGTAGGTAGTTACAAATATAAATTAAAATACACGGGTATGTATATGTGTATATGTGTGTGATTGACGACACTATCTATTAATTTTATTAAATTTTATCCTCTGAAACGGTTGGACCAATTTTGATAGGAATTTCACTAGCAGATAGCCAATGTTATAAGTAGTAACATAGGATTTTTATTTTATAAATGTTGTGATTTTCATTAAAAAAAGAGGTTAAATTCCAAACGGACGAAACCACACAAAAAAATATACGCAGTATATATACCTGTCTATAACTCTGCAACTGCAATTATTATTTTAATTTTTTGTTTTCAGCATTCGACTACTCCGGTGGATATTTCAACCCAGTACTGGCGACGTCTCTTAAAGCGGGTTGTGAGGGCCACACCCTATTGGAGCACGCTGTCGTGTACTGGATAGGGGCATGCGCAGGATCCGTACTCTCGGTCTACTTGTACAAAATACCAGCCATCCAAAGATACGTCAGAGGTACCACAGAAGTGAACGGCGACAGCATCTGGGCGGATAAGGAAGACTAAGTCTATCACTGGGTTGCCAATCTTAAAACAACATCGTGCAATAAAAAATACTGATTTCATCTAACATTACCTCAATTTGACTCTATAACCTAGTACAAATATTTCGACCGATTTTAAGTCAAAAATAATGTACGAGAATTGAAATTACTTCGGTCTATTTCAGGGTTGCCAATGTTAAAACATTTATCCTCGTACAATGAAAAAATAATCAATATCCTCGTACAATAATAAAGTGTAATATTACCTCAACTTCAAACATAAGAATATTTCGACCGATTTTAGGTCAAAATCTCGTATAATTCGATATTTTGTACGAGAATTTAAATGATCCCTGAAGGCTCAAAATCTAGTATTAGTACCAGGATTTTTATACTATTGGCATCCCAGATCATTTTGCTTGTTATAAACGTTAATTAACCGATAAATAACCTTGAATAACTCAATCAGCGCCATCTAGTACCTTACAGACCAACTGCTATAGGTATTAGACAACTGATGAATATACTTACATAAATGCTTTTTTTTTTGTAAATACATACCTTAGATACACAGAAACCCAGAACAATATACTCTTAATTATAAATGATTGTATTAGTGTCATTTGAAAACGTTACAATAGCAAGTAAACCAGTAAGAAACGCATTGTTATTTTTTTTTATAATTTTGTGAATATGGATATTGTTTATAAAGGTTTCGATATGATGTACAATGATGCGGATCGACGAATGATTTTAATTAATTAATTAATACTATAATAATGTGATGTCTTCTAGTCAATTTCGGACATACAAACAAACCGTACAAACTGTTAATTTTATTATTTTATTTACAGCTGATAAACCCACCATTTTATGCCTTATTATTTAGACTAAACTTCTTATTTTTCTTTTGAATATGGTTTATTTTACACATTTTTTATTATAGGTAATTCTGTTTTAGTATGATTTAGTTAAAGAACATTAACTTATGTAAAAATACTACCATGTACCACCTTAATAAATAAAAACTAGTACAAAAACAATTTAACTATTAAAATGTTTTGTCTCATTCTTTCAAATGAAAAAAACGACTCGAATGAAAAGGACAAACAGATGAATGAATACAAATGATTTCATAGAGATTTAATGTTGTTATATATTTGTAAGATAATATCACTACACGATACATTTAACATTAAAACCAATTTATTTTCATTCATTTTTATACACAATATTAATTCATTTGCTTAAGTTAGATTTTATATTGAATTCAATAAAAAGTTGGCCTATAAACTCAGTTATAAGTAACAATATTTTTTTATGTAACATCTGTTAAAAGTTTAAATGGAATTACGGCTAAGTTGTATAATTTAAGGACCTTAATTAAAGCTAATTTCGTACACGTTTCCTTTATGCTGACCCTCAGTTTTTTGCCTTTCGTGTCTTCCGAAAATATAATAAGTGCTACGTTCTCCAATTGTAAATAAATAAACCATTTTTATATATTAACCACCTTGTTTTTTTTCACATCTTCCCTGACTTTGGATAGACAATTTATACAGATCTCTAATGCTTTCTCAATCTTTCAATTTGTGAGACTTGAATGTAAAGATGTACTAGATTAAATTTGATGTTATACTAAGAGTAAGTACATTTATAACACGGCGAACAACAACATAGCATCAACGACAACTAATGTTGCCATTTTGTTACTTACAATGAGGATAAAATAAAATATAAAATCATTTATTCATGTAAGACATTTTAGCAGCTTAAGAACATGAAATTTTCATTGTGTACATATCATATATTAATACTTAATTATTTTTCTTACTTTATCTGTTAAAAGTAAAATCTGATTAATTAATGCTAATTATACAATAATAGTCTAGTTTCTTTATCATAATTATGTTTAATAAGTATAACATATGTGAAATTTATACCTGATTATAACAATCGTACTGTAAAAATTATAACCAATACGCAAGATTCTGGATAAAGAAAATATTTATTCGTACAATATTTATTATTCACTGCTAAAAAAAAGAATGGCTACCGATTATAAAAAAAAACTATACGGAAATGGAACACGGGAGAAAATCCGTATCCACCACGAATATGAGTTTTTATTCACAACAGTTAAAAAAATTAAAAAAGAACTCGTCGTACTACGGTCCAAAGGATAACGAACATAGAATTAAAATCTGAATACTCACTAGCATACGTCACATTTCAGAATGAAATATTTGAGCAGTACAGCATTATTGAAAAATCGTATTGGTAGAAAAAAACAGGTTTCATTCACAATTTTTTTGTTACATTCACAAGTTAAAAGATTTTCATGAAAGTGTACTTTTCTTTCACTGAATATTGCAAACTTAGACCGTCATCTAGACAGCTATATTGAAGTAAACTGGCTACCGTCGCCTATACGCATGAATTATTTTTCATTATTTGGTCAATGTTTTCGAGGACGAAGTCGCGGGTACAGCTAATATATATATATATATACATGTATTTGTGTTAAACATTACACTTCGTAAACATTCTAAAATACATAGGCATAGTTTATAAGTTCAATTTTCTTTGTTTTTGGTAGATATATTTAATATTGTAAATTTTATTAGGCTAACGTGATGTGGGTAACGTCATGGGTATTTTTTGGACTTATGTAAACTCGGTGGAGGGTGTCGATATTCGATACACAGATTATACTTCTGTGAATATCATCGTTTGTTCTGTGAAACATTTGGCACACATGTTTCTGTTTTAAATATATAAATAAAAAAACGTACATATTATCTATCTATTTAAAAAGATCTGCTTTATAATTAGATCACGTATTTAATTTCGCGTGTCTACATTTTAATACCAGATTGTCACGGCCTCATGTAACTTTTGTTATATCACAAACTCTGAAAGAACTTTATACAACTTACTTTATTAAAATTTCCAGATGACTTTGAGAACAGCCTCGTTTGAGATGTTATTAAACATTTCGACTTATTATATTTTTGACAAAGATGTATTAGGTATGATATTATGGAGGGGAGATGATGACGACACGTGGAACTTGAGAAGACTTATGTAACTACTCACAATTACTACTAGCTGGCCCGCTCAACTCTGTTTGTCAAATTCACGTCATAATATTTCTTTAAATTATAACCTATGTTATTCTGATGTATAAACTATATTGCTATAAAGTTTCGTAAAAATCCTTTCAGTAGTTTTGGCGTAAAAGAGTAATAAACATCTATCCATACTCATAAACTTTCGCGTTTACAAAATTAGTAAGAAAGATCTCCATCCCTCTCTATTTCCCCTATAGGTGACCATTTACTATGAAGTAGAAGAAGACCATCAGCTCGATTGCCATTCCAGTTAATAAAATAAAAACAAAAACTATCGACTCCAATCGAACATGCACAACAAATACAACATGCACGGGTGAAAAGTCTAACTACGATATTTTCAAATAGCTATAGTTTTAATTGGACAAACAGTACAGTCGAATCGAGGTACTTTTATAGAGACGTTTAAAAATAGAAGCTAAATTATTGTAATCATGTTCCAAAACAATGTTAGTTTATACAAAAATGTTATTTGTGTAAGCCCTGTATTGTTTCGCCTCTCGTAATCATAGACGGAAATCTTTCAGCAATTGCTTAAATCTAATTCTCAAAAACGACGGTCAGCTGTGAACGAAGCAAGAATATTGAGAGGTGTGGAAAATATAGTAACAGTTTACCATGAAATACTGGTAAGAAAAAATAGTTATGTGATAAAATATTAGCAAACTGTAAAGGAGAGATTACAAGCTGAAATTTTGGGTATATTTTCTAAGGATACTGTGGGTACTATTTTTTACGATAAATCTAAGATGTTGATGAGTAACAGCTATAATTGTCAGATGGGGCTCAGAATTAGTTTAAATCAAATTGCTGGAGCCTTATATATTTGGATGGTAGGATGTTGTATGTCTATATAATTTTTTATTATGGAAGTTATTACATAAATAGAATACAATGTTTATATAAAATAAAAAATCATAATATTGTGGTAACATAGCAATAATATTTATTTTTATTTCATGAACACAATATATACTTGTAAGTTAATTTTATTATACTCATTATTTTAAATTTTAAAATTATTTAAAATATATATAAGAATAAAATATCATAGTATTTTAACCACCCCTCAGATCGATCCGATCGTCCAAACGGGAATCGAAATTATGACAGCCTGAGCCGAGGTTCGAACCCCTAGGGGTGCTCTCAGACTAAAGTCGTATTCGTCAAGCGGGAGTTGGCCGCGTCTTTCCACGGATTTGGTGTGCCATCTGCACTCGCCCCCTATCGTTCAATGAAGTTGTAAAGGCCAGTTGCGGCCAAACTAGTTAGACCTACTAAAGTAGTTAAAAAAATAGCATTCACGGGACTTTACGAGTATCACTTACTTTCTAATCGGACAGTAGGCAGCCCCGAGCACTTTATTGGAGGTGTACTAAGGAGGTTGCTGATTATTAAATATCCTTCTTCGACGTCCAAGTCTACGGTCTCGAATACCATCAGCTAAGGCTGTATCCACTTGTTTATGCTCAGATGCGGCAGTATTGCCTAATAGCGTTGGGCTACTGCTAAGAAATATTGCAATGCTGTGGTACTTTTGTATAAAACTAAGTTCATAGTTTGAAGGAAACTATTGATATTTTCTGTAAATGGAATTCTCATGTCGTTTTAGAGTATAATTTATATTCTGTTATGATCCCTATTCATAGGTGAAAGTACTAATATACATACACGTACTTATTGATCTTAGAATCAATATTATGTCATGGTGAGTGCACCTCTATGTTACTATACAGACATAATATGACGGCCTCGATGGTCTAGCGGTTTAGCACACCGCTTTACTTCCGATGGACGCGGGTTCGATTCCTCGCCCGGTGCATACGTTAGTATTCCTTATTATGATTGTTTATACCGATCTGTGTATTTTATATTATATTGTATGTATGGATTTACAAATAAAATAAAATGTATCAGTATAGTATTTGTATCAGTTGCCTAGTATCCAAAACACAAGCTTTGCTTACCGTGGGACAATTTATTTTAGGGATAACGACTACTGTTTA